ATTATCAAAACTAAACTGTTGCTTATTGGATTTGTAGATCTCTTCCTACAGAATGGGTGGATCTGGAGTCTAAGAAAAGACACCAGAAAGGAAAATCCTTGCCATTATAAACACACACACCAAAGCAAATAAGCCTAGGATCAACAAGGTTTTCTCGGAGCAGTTTATGAGATACCAAGCTGCTTAGGCTAAAACACCATAAGAGTTTGGATGAACTGTATAGGCATGTACAGGTGTGTATATAGTGAGAATAATGCAGAGAACCCCCTCCCCAAGGCTGGGTAGCACTGTCCTCTGGTAAGGCAGCTTGCTGGCCCTGCATAAAACCAGGTGTTAATTCTTATTCCTTTGGCCCCAGATGGTGTCTAGCTGTCACTTGACAGGTGAGAGCTCCCGCTAGCAGGTGTCAGTTTGGCCACATTATAAAAACTGTTTTGTTCTTAAATTTTGCATGTTTACTGCTCTTCTTTGGAATTCTTAAATGTTTCTCTAAACAAATAATCTTTTTTTTTTTTAAAAAAAGCCAATTCTTAAAAAAAAATTAAAAATTACATAGCTGGATTGATTTATGTTCCTTATTGGGCTAATAAACCATCTGTTGTGGGTTTAGGCCAATTCATGAAATTATAAATCTGGGAGAGAAAATTTTCTTTCCCATGATAAGCATTTGTTAATGTTTGAAAGTTCTTGTTTGCATTTCTGCAGAGTCATTATTTGGTAGCAAAAAAACAATGTGGAGGAGTAATACTCTTGGTGTTACCATGCTGTTATATCCTACTTTTTCTTGTGCAAAACAGTATAGATCCATGACATTCAGTGTCGGGAGACTTCTTCATGTACACACCTTTTTGTTTGTGTGCGTCTGTCATCTGTGCTGAGTACAATAGTAAAGACATTGTGATTTTTTTTTTTAATTTTTTTTTTAATAATACAAGCATCTTTATGTCTTACAAGATCTGTCTGTATGTTTGTCGTAGGGGGTTGGACTAGATACTTGTTAAGGTCTCTTCCAACCCAAACCATTTTGTGATTCTGTATGCTTATAACCTTCTGACACCACAGTGAGATTTCAAATGAAGATATATTAATGTGCATTAGAAGTGTGTGATTGCTGTATCACCATGAAACAGATGAAAAATCAGTTCACTGCAGTAGTTTTTATCTGAATTGATCAAAACATCTTCCAATCATTTTTCTAACAATATGTGATTGGAATAACAGCTTCACATGTTATAGAGCTCCACACTGCAGCCAAGAGGCATGTAAATACAAGCTGCTTATTTGCAAGAAGCTTCCAGATTTGCAACATGATTGCTATGGAAACCACACAATGAAAACTGTATAACCATCTGTATGATTTGGTGGATTTTGCTGCATACCTGAGCTGTTTCTGTTTACTGTTATTAAAAGTGTTGAATAGAATATATTAATCCACAAACTGGGATTAACCAAGGTATAAACTAGTATTGTGCAATGACAATGTCTGTACCAGAGGCTAGAAGACAGTAGAATACCAATTAATAATGGCATTAAATTAGAGTCTAATACAAAAATATGGTGAAGTAATGTGTAAGTAAACTCCTAAGTTTATGCATATTTATTGTGGAGACACCACATTCCATTGAAGGAATGCACTGTTCAAGCCAAACTCTTATCCATTTTATACCTAAGTGGTCTAGTTTTTTCCACCTCTCCCTTTAAGAAAAAGAAATTGGAAGAAAAAAATGGATTAATGTAAAAAAACCCTCAGCTAATGTAGAATTCATTGTTCACTTTTTAAGTTGTGTGGATGGTAGAATCATCTATGATTGAGTGATTATTTTCTTTGTTTTCTCTTCAGACTGCAAATTAAGCAAGTAAATAATTTTCAGTAGCTTTCATGGAATAACTGAAAAAAAACCCTTAACAAATATAGTTAGTCCCTTGTTGCATTGTTCACCACAAGAAGATTGTAGATTGTTTGCCATCAGAGTCTCTGAGTACCAGCAGGGTATGGAAAATAATGTGTATCTCAAGGGTTCTTTGGACCTACAACTTAGAAAGAGTTCATTGGTTTGATTAGTGTTGATTAGTCCCATTTTGACACAGTGAGATCATGAAGAAGGATATCTTTTCACTGCAGGGATAGGGACGGTGTGAAGAAGAGATACAGAGGAAACACTGTACCAGATTATGTTAAAAATCTGCATGACTCTTCTTACACAGTGTCTTAACAATACAGAAGGATTTCTACTGTATTTTTTATTTTAATATTTCATCTTTTGACTCTATTCCATGTTGCAACACAAACTTTAGTATGTTGCATCTGACTATAGCTGTAATTTCTGGGGTAACTGAGGTTGCTGTGTTTACAGGACATCTCCTGCACATAGTTACTGCTTCAGAACATAGTACCAGAAAACACTAGTAAGAACCATAGGTTCTTTTTTATCACCCTAAGCCATGTCTATTACATCTGCTCCACTGTGAACATGATTGTATTAGCAAGTAGTTTGGACCATTTGCAACAGTTCAATAAAACACAAGTTTGTGCTGGAGACCTCATCTTAACACTGTGCATGTTTCATAGGAGGTCCCCTATGGAGTTGCTTTAGTCTGGTTCCATGGACTGAATGCCCTTTAGCAGCTGGACCACATTCAGTGTGCTTCTGGAGTGCGTCTTCCAGTCTAATTGCACCTGAAAGTTTGTTCTCTCTGTGCAACTCTGTAGTGTAAAACTAAGTGTGATAAGAGGGGATTGTTGGGATCCAAACCGTTGTGCTAATATGGACAGCCTTTGTTTGAATATGGGACCTTTTCAGTATTCAAAGAACCTTGATTCAGACTTTTCCTCATCTTCAGATATGGATCTGGTTAACTCTTGCTTTTAGGAAATAAGTTTTTTCAGGAAGGAAGTGCATATGTTCTAAATTTTTCCATGAAACCACAATGCAATCTACATGTATTGAACTGTACCTTATGAAGAAATATCTTCAAATCTCCTCTGCTGTTTTACTTCTGTTGAAATAACCTCTACTAAAGTCAGTCCTTAGTTTAAGCTAGTCTGATAACCATGACAGTGATGGAGTTAAAATCCATGGTACATTCAACACATGGATTGATATAGGTCCAAACATTCTGTAACATGTCATATCAACATTTATTTGATCAATGTATAATACTCTGTGTGTTGGATGAAACGAGGTTGTTCTGGGAAAAGGAGCAATCCTAGAAAATGTGACTGATAATGGGATAATACTACCTGTGAGTGGTGTGATAGTGGTAGGGAAGCCGCAGAAGGACAGTGCCTCCTAGTGCTCCTGACAGCTCATAGGGATGTATTTTTGCCATTAAGGCTACAATTGTGAGTACTTAAAATAAACAAATGTGTGTACTTGAAAATGTGCAACAAGTGTTATGCCACGTGGGAGAATACATCTGAATGCAATAAATAGTCTAGAGTGTTTTGTGTTGTACTGCAACTTCAGATTTTCCCTGTTCTATTGTTTGGGGTTTTTTTCCTTGGCTTAAATACTGGTTTATATTCATCTCGAAAAGATTTTTAGCTGGTCAAAAGGCAGGCAGCAAAAACCTCTTGCTGGCTTAGTAGGGCAGAAGTTCAAAGCCCTTTGTAGAGTGAATCTTATTACATAATTGTAATTTTTGTAGGACTATGTATATAGGTTAGCAGCAATTATGCATACTCATTTCAACAGGTCTACTCTTGCACTTTAAACATCTGCTTTAATGTTTGCAGGAACAATCTTGTGGATAGATTAAATTTTTACAGGGCTAAAAATCCTTTGATCTGTTGATATAAAATTCACTCTTTGTCAAAGTAGATAGGCAATTACATAAATGTTGCACAATAAGGAACATTTTAAAAGCTGAGAGTTTTGTATGTGTTGCCTGTCATTAATAAAATCTCAAAATTACTTGCTGAAATGTGTGCCTTTAAAAAGAAGCATGAGTATCTGTGTAAGATGTGATGAATAGCAAAGCCAAATAGTTTAAATGTATTAAAAGTCCAGTTCTTGTTTAAGAAGTGAGTTTATCAATGTACTATTTCCTCATTCAGTACAACAGCTTTGTCAGTTTTCGTATACTATAAAGGCCAAGATAAATCTGTTTAAATCTTCTCTCTGAACCTAAAGAAAGACTGCATCTAAAAAAACCTCATTGTTTGCTCCCTTTTTTGCCTCATCAACAGAATTGTTGACTGTGAAATGTGAGGAGCAAATCTTACGTCCCTGTACTGAGTGGAGTGTGCATTTACTTAAGTGAGGGTGTGGGCATGAGAGAATTCCCTGTCTCTGCTGGACAAGGAGCACATCTTTCAAAATTGCCTGTGGGGATTTTGGAGCGTTCCAAGCCTGCTAGCCAGAAAACATGCTTCAGAGCTGATCGCTGCCAGACTTTCTCTTCTCTTGTCTCCTAAACTTGCACTAAGTTGTTTGATACAGTTTGGCTTGCTTAAAGCCGTGGTCATGTGCAGTAGGCAGGAGCACTGAATGCATGGCATCTGTAGTGGCTATGTTTCCATTGTGCAGGTGTCCAGCTAATGTGTCGGTATGACAGTACTGAAGGCAAGATGTCCTCTGCCTTCTCTGCATACTTAAGAATGTCTTAATTCTTGCATGGGCTGGTTATACTTTTTCAATCCTCTGTTTCCTTTTCTTTATCCTGGCAACAAATGTAGGTGGCAGAATAGGACCCTCATTCTAATTGTCTCAGAATGACTGAAAAACAACAGAACTGCTGCTCTGTATTACCACATTCAGAGCTGAGCAAAAAGGGAAACAGATGTTCACAGTCAAGATTGTAAAAGAAAGCTCTTGGAGTGTTTGGATGGGGGGACAGTGGGGAACCACAGAAATAACAACGTTCCAACTTCTGTACAAATACAAAATAGTAAACAGAGCTCACGATCTGGAAATGTGGCTTTCAGATTGATATGGGCTGTAATTCCTGTCAACTGAGGTGTTCCTTCAGAGTTTCATTTGCTATTATGTGTTTTGCAGAAGAACGTGTTCCTCCAAAGGCAGATGTGCCAAGAAAACTGAGCCAGGAAAAAGTTACCACTGTTTCAGGTAATTAAAATCTTTCCTCTTTATTTTGTGTATGTACTTTCTTTTTACCGTTACTTTGTTGTGTTTTCCCTTTGCTATTTTAAGATAATGTTTTTATAGCTCTGTAAAGCTGTCTTTTCCATCTGGGTATTTGATGGCAGCAAAACTGCTTAGCACCACTTAGGATGCATGAAAACCACTTGAGAAGGATTTATAAAGTAAGCCAATTTATACAAGGTATTCCTTCCTGAATTACTTTGTAATGACTCAATTAGCTTTCATTTCTGCACAAAGGAGATTTAGTTGCATAAATTAGCTTATCATCATTGAGGAAGTGTCACTGCTAAAGGACAGTTTATAGATACAACATGCAGTTGCTGTCAAATCTATAAGAATGTAATATAGACATCTGTGTATACTTTGTGCTTGAGCAGAACAGACTTCTGCCATTCAGAGACTAACAGGGGACAACAAGTTGCCCAAGGGACTGGCAATGTAGACGTCTCTGAAAAGGTCAACTTGACACAGGCTCTGACAATCGACCCAAAGCTCTGTCTTCTTTGATAAAAATCAGATAAACTTAAGACCACTAATTGATCTGCAGCCTGTTTAAATGTTGGCCATGCATATCTTCATTGCATATGATTACCACAGAAAGCAAATGAATTGGGTAAGATATGCCAGAGTCCAGTGACAGCAGCATAAAAATTGGAAAAGGACACAAATGCCCAGAAAGGCTGTGAAGGATATTCTCTCAGCTTCATCTTGGCAAACTGCCCTTGTGCTAATTATCTCTGGGACTGGAAAAATAACTGCAAACACCACGTAAAGTCACATGGCCAGACAACTTTTCTTGACAGAAAGGTATTTCCAGTTATGCTTAAAAACAAGATATATATGTGCTTCAAGGGCACAGACCTTTAGATAAACTGTTGGTGATTTGACACAGCAAGTAGAGAAGACTTGCTTCTTATCAGACATTACACCTTTTTGAGATCTGCTGCATTGTAACTGTGACCTGCACCAACATGCAATCTGGTTCTCCTTCCCCTGCCGTACATAATACACATAATTCTTTCAGGGCTGTCAAGGAAAGGGTGGGCAAGAAGAGTTCCTTTAGGAAGTAGCTCTGCAGTGCTCTTCCTGTTGCAACATGTGGAAAGGAAACAGAGGCCTGATTTCCTGACCCATACAGGAAAGCAGGAACAGGTTGCTGTGAGAAGTTTTGGGTTGCTTTTCTTGGAAAGGAAACAACAGCCAAGTCATCAAATGCTGTTAGCACTGTGCTCTGCTAAAAACATGTGTCAAACAATATGACTCATTACAGCCTTAATATTTAGTACTCATTTAGACATTACTGTAATTATGAGCGTGTTGTCATAATGGAGCGTGAGGTCAATCCAATTATGAAGTGGCCAGCAGAATTTTTTTTTTCACTAATGTAACTTCTTGAAGTTCTAATTAGTCTTACTTTTAAGAAATCAAAATCTTAACACTTTAATTTCGAAAAAAAAAATTAAACTCCTATGAGAACAGCCTTATCAGTCTTACTAGTATTTGTGTAATGTTCTTGAAAATACCATAACAGTATCATATATCAGATTAATTTCAAGCAATAATTTTCTGATCTTAGTTAGTTAACTATTTAACATTAAAATTTTGTTTGACTTTTAGGGCTGAGTTGACATGAGTATTTCTGATAGGCAGCACATCATAAATATCTAAGCTGACTTAAGGATATTTAATGATTTTCCACACAAACAGCGCATAAGTTCTTAGATTTTATTTATTGCCTAGCTTTACTAAACCTGAATTTCACAGAAAATATTCTGCAAAGTGTCTGAGAGCTCAGCCTGATAAGTGCAAAAACCAATTTTTTTCCTGCTCTTTTCTTGCCCTGACTTATCTTTGCTTCAATCAGTGTGCAGACTTGAGTTCTTTTTAGTTCTTCATAAGTCTTGATGCTGACTTTTGCTGCTGGATAGCTTTATATCAATTGCTAGTGACCTAATTATTTAAAAATGCCAAAACACTGAAGAGTTTCAGTTGTATAACATGGCTTGCTGGATCTTTTTTTGCTACCACTATCCACCCATTTTCATTTCCACAATCAATATTTCATTAAGTGTCACGTTCTGTGCTCTCTCAGTGTAAATACCTTGATTTTAGAGTAACTAAGGAACAGCAGGAGAAGGGAAGTGAGAAAGATTATACTGAACAGATTGGGCTAGATTAGAGGTAAATTCCAAATAAATACACTACAGTTATTTTGCCATTATTTCATATTTGTTCTGGCATGTGGGAAAGAGGGCAAGTAAGTAATGGGCATTCTTTGCAGTTTAGGACATCCTCAGAACAAACAAATAACTGCGTTCTTTAATAGGGTATGTCTCATCTGGGCACTGAGACTCAACACTGAGAGTCTAAATCACTTGTGTGAGATGGAGTCATTCTGGTAGTGTTAATTATGAACTTCACCTGTCTCTCCGTCTTTAACCCTTCAGTATGGTAAATACTGAGCACATCATCACCAAAAGGGAGTACCGTAATTTTACAGAAGTTCACCTCTTTAAAATATTGTTAAGTAGCCCAGACTTGTCATCTTCAAATCAGATGCTATAAACTTTTGAAGAATCTGATCAAGAGTCAAGGAATATGAATCAGAATGGCAAACCATTTAACATACTGGGCAGTGAACCACAGTGGTGAGAGAAAAACATACCTGCATGTTCCTTCTTTCCACAAGCACTGTGTAAGCAGATAATACAACTACTAGCTCTGTCACTACCATAGTAGGGTTTGCTAACTTAGATGTCACCAATGTTAAAATGGAAGATCAGTGGAAATCAGGCACAATCACATTTATTCTAATGTTTTAATGTTTAAGTAGTGTATTTCCATACTGGGGCTGTAATTCCTGTTTTTGTTTTGGTCAGTTTAGTTTTCTGCCAGGTTTGTGCTCTGAAATGGCAAGTACCAAAGTTGTTAAAATTAATATATTTTCCCAGATTTTGTCTATTGAGGCTTTTATAATATTCTTATAATCCCCCCCCGCCCTTGAGTAATCCATGAGCATTCTTTAGTTTTAAACAGTCTGCAATATTTGAAGTGCATGCTTGAGTGATACAGATGTCAGATTTTTTTTTTTTTACCTTAACTCTTCACCTTTCTTTCTTCAAGTGTGTAGTGTCAGGTGCCAGTATTTTTCAGGGAAATAAGCAGTCTGAGTCTACCATCGGCAAGGCTGGCAGCCATTGCTGTTTGATCCGTCAAACTCTAAAGTGTTTTCATCAGTATATTGGACAAAAATATCTGTTGTTCATATTACTGTTACTGGAAAAACAGAGATTATAGAAGAAAACCATGAAGAATTCCTTGTGGAAGAGTTTTGGAAACTGTTGGATAGTTGCTCATCCAGATAGCTGTCCTGGAATGAAAGGAGTATTTAATGAAGAAACAATCTATCCAAAATCCTGCTGAGCCATTTCTTGTAATTGGGAATATTAAAAGCAGTGGGCAGTTAAGAAGAAACTGCTTTCTACCCTCTGCTGCACATTTTAATTTTTTTAATCCCATCTTATTCATATTTGGGGCTAAGTGACCATGCCTTCAAAATACAACAGACTTATTTTAGCAATTATGTCATCATAGTATTTTTAAGGCACAAAACATTTCACAGTGTGTAAGAATAAAGTGTAATTGTGACAGAGTAATGCCAGCAAATCAATACCTTTTGAATTTGAACTCTAATGAGCATGTAAGTTCTTGAAGCTAAATCCACCAGCTGTTATCAGGTATTACATGTGATTAAGAAGCTCCACATAATTTCATTACCATATAAATATCAAATTCCTTTACCCAAGTCTCCTGGTTTTGTTTTATTCTGTTCTTCAGAGGCAGTCAAATTAAATTTGGTAGGGTACTCTCTAACTGAAAGAGGCTGAAGTAAGAAAGAATGGGCTTGTGTTTTACACAGGTGTTTGCAGCTCTTTTTTTTGTTTTGTTTTGTTCTACCTCTGTGTTTGTGAAGCACTCATTTGATGAAGCATTTTGCCCTTTACATGTATGTATTCTGAATTTAATTTACAATTGGCTTTTGTGCGTGTGTAGTTGCACTTACAGAATTTGGAGAAACTTGTGCTGGTGGGTATGAGAGGGGATTTCGATTTGAAGGTAACACTTTTTGAAAGACCAGCATAGTTGTTCACAAACTTACACTGGCACTCTCTCTCCCTATTTCTAAGTTCTTTGCTCCTGGTATACTGGTAAATGGCTTTCTGAGAAATGTGGCTTTCTGATTTAAACAACTCTGTCTGATGTTAAATTAACATATGAGGGCACAGAGCCATGGTTAGTCTTTGGGCAACATCTTCACTGCAGCAGTAAGCTTCTTTTAAAATGCATCTTTTCCAGTGTTGCTGTGTTAATAGTTGAGTTGCTTTCCCACTTTAAGCTTTAATTAAATGCTCATGATGAACATCTAAAGAGAGAGGTATCTCACCCGCTGTGGGTTCTCTTCTGTTGCTGATGCTGATGCTCCTCATGTAACTCTCATTACTGTTAACAGGAGTTACTTCAGGCACACAAACAGACCTCAAAGTGATAAAGATCAGTGTGAAAAGTCAAGATTTTTTCAGTTCAGTTCTGAAAAAGTAAAAGCCCTGATTAATGTATTTTAAGCCAAATCAATAAGACAACTGCTGAAAGAATTGAAAGGTGGGATATACAGAAATAGCTCTTTTAGTTTTGGGTGGTTTTTTTTCTTTTTCTTTTTTTTTCACGTGGGCTTTTTCACATTGTCTTTTGTGTGATAGAGCTGGGAACTGTGATCAGTCCTGTATCAAAAGCCTGAGGAGAGATTCTGATTTAATATTTATTACAAATTAATTAGGGGCTAACCTGTGTTACTGTTTATACTTGTGCTATGCTAAATTGATAAATAATGAGCTGACGAATGGGAAGGGCCAAAATTTCAAACTGATTCTGCTTTCCTCTTGACATTATTCTATCTATGCATTTTACAATAACTACATCTATTATTTCTGAATGGTCAGGAATTTTTGTGTACGTATCTATTGCTGCTTCTGGTGTGATGACAGAGGAATTTGTGCACTGGTAGTCAGAACGCCCCCTAGTGCTATATAGCAAGTGGTAGCTACTAATCACCAGTTTATGGAGAATTAAATGGTGGATAACTTGCATAGCAGCTTTAAATTCAAGGTTGTGAATATTTAGCCTTATGACAGTATTGGCATCAAAACAAGATAGCACAGAACACAGACTGAAATGGATACACAGAAAATAATCTCGCTCACACAGAGTATTAAAATTAAAATCTTAAGTACTTGTCAAAATAGGGAAAACTATAAGTTTAATACTGCTATATTTCTTTATAGCGTGACACTTTCTCTAGCTCGATACTTGATATTTTAGCAGGAATTTTTCAGTAATAAAGTGAACCAATCATGATTAAATTGTAAACTGTAAATAATGGTGTAGAGTGCTAACGACTTGCAAATGTAACTGGTATATATTGAAATAACCAGCAAGCCTGCTGTTCAAGGATCATATAACAAAACTAAGATGACAGCCTTGATCCAGCCAGTTCAGTGATATTTATGTTATCAGAATTAGAAGATAGCTTTCCAGTGATGTAAATTATTAGTACATATACATTCTGTCTGGTTAGTGTATACATAATGTAACTGGTCATCTTAGTGGTATTGCTTACATTCTTTTTGCATTAACTCATCACACTCCATTCTCATGGAATTAAAAACAGGAAATAGTTTGCAGTGTAACAGAAGCACCCTGTGTATTTAACCGTGTGTAAGCGCTGTGTTTCAATAGATGTACTCTGTATTGCAAGTGTATGACAAAGCATTTATTACTGTGTTACTGCCGTATTACAGAGCAAAGAGTGCTAAATAATCAATCAGTTAATGGTCTGTATGGCAGCTTGAACACAGCACATCCATTGTGCTTAGGCTGTTAGAAGGATGAGTTTATGACTGTAGTGTAGTTGCATGTTTAGCCAGAGCTTAATGTCCTAAGCTGGAGCTGACACAAATATTTTTAAAATGCAGCTTCAGCAACAGTTTCCAAGTTTTCCAATATTTCAGAAGGAACAATCAAGGATTATCTCAAAGGTTCTCAGAGAAGTTATTTAGTTTTGTTTGAATGGGGGAGTGTATCACAAAATACTTACTTTGGCTTCCTTTCAGAGATTAATTCTATTCTAGCAATTTTATCAGTTTCAAGTTGAGATACAAATACGGCTTGCTGGAAATATATTAGTTGAGGAAAACTAGCTGCTTTAAGTTGCAGCTGGAAAATGCTTTGAAAACCTGTGGCTACATGTCTTTAAGGGATACAACTTGCCAGTGAAGGGCTCGCACATTAAACTTGTTTTCCGCTTGCTTCTGTGGTATGAAGAAGCTCTTTCTACAAAGAAGAGTAAGAAATGTGCACTAATAAATTGCTTTGTAGTATCCAGAGATTTAAAGAGTTACTTTAGTCTTTCAATCTTTATCCCTTTTTAATTAGATGCCATTTTCTTTGCAGATGACAAAAATACCGATTATGCCAATTTCTATCAAGGTTTGTGGGACTGCACAGGAGATGTACCTGATGAGCTGACATTTAAACGTGGTGACGTTATCTACATTCTCAGCAAGGTACGGCCTGCCACTGGAGCTAAAGAGTAGTAAAAAGAGAGCCATGGCAGAAAGGCACATTCCCACAGTTCTGCGAGGGGAAACTGGCACTCCCTTTCAGATCCTTTGTTTGCAATCAGATATTCACTGCAATTAATTATTTTGTCTCCCGTTAAATCAGCTAACAAATGGTAGCCAAGATTTAACAAGTAAATAAACATGCTTTTAAGTTAATTCCTGTTACATGGCTATGTTTTAAATGTGATTATAGTTCGTCTGACAATGTGCTTTCTGCTGGTAAAAGTTAACCTTGTGGAATTTAAAATTATCTTGTATGTTATGCTTTTTGTTTCCTGTTTTATGTTCCTCACTGTGCTGATCTGGCTTTCTGGGCATCTTGCTACAGAAGATGTTTTTGTTTTTTCAAGCTGTGCTTTCATCTTTGTATGTATATTGGAATTGTTCTGACAGCTCAGATTCCAAATTGTTGCTGTGGCAGATTTGGGCAATTTTTAATTTACTGCTTTCGTGTTTGCAAAGCAAATGAGAAATATAATTTATCTCATCTGAAGTGATGATAAGCAGTGTAAGCGTGAAATTTTATTCTACTTTAGTGTTGGCTAATTTTCTTATATTTCCTTATCCCCTCCCCCCTAAAAACACACCAAACAAAAAAAAACCCCCTGCAACCCAAAAAACAAACCCCAAAACCTCTCTTAAAATATATATCTCATGGTCCATTGAAGTCTACTTCTGAACAATTCATCAAAGGAAATTTCTCTTTTTCCCACACATTAGGGAAAAAAGCACCCAAACCGGAGCTTTTCAAGTTCTCATTGAAAAAAATGCCTTAAAATATATATAGAATATATATCTCAGATGTAATTGCCATTCAGTATAATGCCAGAGATATTGTAGGTCATTGAAATATACAAGTAGGTGCATGAAAGCTAAAGGCCAAGTAGGTGCACGAAAGCTAAAGGCATCTGTTTGCCTTAGTTTCAAACTCTTCGGTTTTGACAGAATTGCTTTAAATCTGTGATACCTTTAACTGCAATGTTTCCAGATAATAAATGTAACAGCTTCTGCTTAAATAAATTTAAGATTTATGGATAGAAAGATAGTCCTATATAAAAATATAGAAGATATATTACTAATGGTAATGTGACCATGTATGTCTTTTGAGGTATTTCATTGTCACTTAAACTAATAACTGAATTGCATTACTAAAGGCGGGATAACACTCTTGGATTGGGCAGACTTTCAGTTATACAGCACTGAAGAATGGTATTAATTTAAAATAACCACCTCTTCCCCCTTTCCCTCTCTGAAAAAAAGCCCATGAACAAACAGATTCCACTGTAGGAGTTTGGTCTCTTTGTAGGTTGTGCTCTGCTGGTACAGTATGGGGACTAATAAAATCTTAATCTTCAGCTTCTAGGTAAAAAATACTTTGCTACTCCTTTCCCAAAAGAGTGAGAAATTTAATTTAAAATATGGGCCAGAATAGAAGAACAGTAGCTTAAGTTGTCCTCTGTATATCAACTGTCTTGTGGTCATGTTGTGATTAATCCGTAATCGGTCCTTGAAACAGGTCCACGGCTGCTGCAGATATATAGAACCTCTCTCTTTGGAAATTATTTTTACTCCAAAATGCAGCCCAGAAAATTCAGCCCTGTTTCGCTTAAAGATTGTTACAGCTTTTTCAGAAAAATGAGTGCTGGCCACTATTGCCAGCTTTGAATTTAGGGTCCTTGGAGGGGAAAGTGCCAGAGAATTATCCATCTTAACCATCCATTTGATTCAGTTTCAAGGTCTGGTCATTTACGAGCTGTTTGTCTGGTAAGTAAAAATATAACCAAAGGAAAAGTGAACCTATCCCCCCTGAAGTGGGTCAGGACTTTTCTTCAAAAAAATATTTCCTAATCCACTACATTAATACTTGGATTTTGCAGCAGTCGGCAGGAATCCTTGGCATTTTTTTTATTTTTTCACACCATCTAGTGGTTGAAAATGAGAGATGCAAGTACTGACAGGAGGTGATGTGTATGGATCCAAAATGGTGTCATAAATTCAGCTTCAGCTTGAACCTAGCTATGGCTTTATTGCCTTTCTATCATATGTCAGCCAGGTATGAACATTACTCTTGAAAATCACATTTTGCTGATAAGGAAGTAAGTATTGGTATAGCAGTATTATAGTAGGAAGGGTGAAGCATTAACAAAATATTGAGCATATTTGTGCAACATGTAATAGTTCTTTGTTTTACAATGAAATATAAATGGTATGGCTTGCTCTGACGAACGTGATAAGATAGATATTTGTCTCTCCCAGCAACAGTTAAGCCAAAGCGATATATTTTTACCTGCTTTTCACATACCTTTATAGAAATTAGGGGAAAAGTGACTATTTTGTTTCCAAGAAATGAGATCATTAGTACAACAGAAATAATTATGAACCACTGTAGCAAATTTGGGCATTGATATAATTTCAATAAAGCAAGAGGAGCAATATATTACATGTAAGTTTCTACGTGAATGCCTTTTAGAAGAGTGAGCAAGATTTCAGTTTGGCAACATTTACTTCTGAAAATAGCTAAGCATTATGCAAAGACAAATCCCCCATAATTGGCTTTAAACTGAGCTTCAAAATTCAATGTTAGTGTAATGAACATGATTTGCATTCTTATACCGTGATAATACAGATACTTATGCCTGACTCATGTAATTACTGTAGAAAAGCATGTTTTCCTTGTTTTAAAGGTGCATTCAAAAAATATTTTAGCTTTTACCTGAATATTTATGTCTATTGTGGTTTCTGTGTGGCAGCAGTCCTATGGGCTCTTACAGAAAAAGTCCCAAAATTTTTTTCCTACTTTTTTCTGCCTTTGAGAGTTTCCTTCAAAAGCTGTTTTCAGTCTGAGCAGAATTAACAGAACTGTTGTAATAGTACTTGTTAACTTTTTATTTAAAAAATAGTTAACTTTTCAGATTAATTGATCAATGTATCTGTACAGATAAACTCATACTATTATAATTTTAATTTATAATATACCTGAATATTCAAATGGCTTTTGTAACTTATGCTATGAATCATGTGAACTTTGAGAAAATTGTATGCCCCTCTTCCACTCTGCAGTAGAAAACATTTTGTAGCTCTACTGATAGAGGGACTCATTAATAATATTTCTTAGTTAATATTGACTTCTTAGTTAATATTGACTATTAGAAATGCAATACTTGGGCATCCTGTTTCCTAAAAGGATGATTGCTCTTAACTCCTGCTCATTTATGGGCCTGCCTTTGCTTTCAAGCCCATATGATAAATGGGGAAACAAACCATGACATAACAATCCTTTTAATAAATCTTCCTTAAGCTCTTACTCAAGAAATCAATTTCCAGAAATAAAGACAACTGTGAGCGGAGGTAGCCATATTATTTTTTTTTTTAAGTTTGATATGCACAATTTATGCAAGTGCAGCACTTGCAGTATTTGCTTGCAGTTTGGTTTTTTTAAGTGCATGTTTTGTGTTGGGAAATTCCACAGTTTCATCAGCAAATGCAAGTAGTAATGGAAATTAACTTAGACGTTAGCAAACACCTGCTTAATAGAATTACTGACACTTCTTAACTTTTAAACTATCTCAATCCCCATCTCATTTGTATTTATGTTTGCATTAAAATTTCAAACAATACTTGAAACCAGAAATTATATCTCAAACTGGAATTCTCCTTATCTGTTATTATTTCAATGCATGCCATTGCAATATAATGCTGCTCACTCTAGTATTTATGATTTTTTAAAAAGTCTTATCTATGACTTAACCCTTTTATCTAGAATTTTCCAAGAAAGTAGAGTGTTAAATTGCTACCTAGATTACCCTCTTTTCAGTGGTTGTACACTTCCAGTGTGGCAGATTTTTATTCTTTCAATACAACAAACGTCTGTTAAAACTCTCACATCTCAATCTGCATTTTTTGCTTAGTGAAAAGACAGAGAAATCTCCATAGCTCAGGTTACTGCTTCTGAAATAAAGCACAACTTAACAGTGCAGCTGTTTCACTATCAGTGTGAGCATTTTATACATTATCTGTGTAATTTTCATAAAATGTATTTATTCAGTATTTTTTTTTCAAGAAGATGTGAAAGGCATACTAAAATCCTGACTGATTTTTTGTGAGGCTATTTTTTGACTGATCATACTGAGACCCATATTTAACAGTAATTCCTCTTTCCATGACTGTACTGCCTATATCTACCTTAGCAAATAGGGAGTACCAATAGGAGCAGATTTGCAGAATGAAACACTTAGTGCTGAGGCCCCGGTGTCCACACCAAGTGTTTTAAAAGGGGTTTGGTGTCCAAAGAGGTCTATTCTGGTTTTGTGGAATGAGAGCACATTAGTGATTGGAGCACATTCAATTGCAGCTTCCGTTTTAATTTCATCTGAAAGAAATGTAGCATGAGTGCTCTGAGACTGACAGCTCGGCAAAGTGAGCCAAGGTGAGGGAAATGGGAGGACTGGGAGATTCACTTCAGTGGGATGCTTCTGATCAAACTAAAATGCAATATGAAAAGTTGTACATTTCCTTCTTTTGGCTTGTTTAGGTATATCCCTTGCAGATAAAAACCAAATAGCTACATGGCTAAACATAAGAGTGAAGGCCTTTAAATGGCAGGTTAGTTAAGACAGACTAATGCAAAGTAACTATAGCTCTGTTGGTTTGCATACTGATGATATGTAAGCAATTACCTACCTGACTAATGGAAAATAAAATGGCCCCTCCGTCACTCTAGAGTGTTTTTGGAGCCAGTTTTTGTTCAGAATTCAGTCTGCTTACTCTGATTTATATTGGAAGTCTTTAACTGGTGTCTATTTTGTCTCATGTCATTGCAGGAAATAAAACCTAATAATGCAACCATACAATAAATCTCAGGCTTATATTCTTAAAGATGACCATTTTATTGCTGTCTTAAAACAACTCTACTACCTGTGAAGAAGTCTCATTCAGTTATCTAAAACATTTGTCATTTTCTGCTTTTTAGAGAAAATCCTGTTCTGTGCTAACGATGCTCCCTGCTTGATAATGTATCATTCAGCAAATACACCAAAGGAAGTTCTAAAATTTTTTAGCTGGTCTGAATCTTCTGGATGAATTAGAGGTGTTTTAAAATATTATCTGGCCAAAATTGTCCTCTAGGATATTATTTGGGAAAAAAAAAATCTCCCTGCCTTCCTCACATCTTTAGCATCATAGGAGAGACTACTTATTTTATCCATAAGCAAGGCTATAGATACATTTTGCTTTTCAGTTTTAAAGTTTCCAGATCTTCAGTCCGTAAGTTAATGTTACTTATAATGCCACTGGAAGAGGGCAAGAGAAAAATCTTGAATTCACACATGTCAGTCGTGGGGTTTTTTTTTAAACACAAGTCCATTGTTATTTTCAAGGCATTGAAACACAATGATGATTTTCAGCAACTCTTTTTAAAAAACAAAACCAATAAAAAACCCACCCCACAAACACGAAAAACATACCATATGTATAGAACAATAGGGACTAATTGCCCAAGAACCAGATGTTCTCAACTTTTGCTGAAGTCAGTAGATGTTAATATGGTGCAGAGCATCTGGAGATCCTCATTTATGCAGAGGATCTGTTCTAAAGGTAGAGACTGTTTTGGAAATCTTATTGCATATTAAAATGTTCTCTTCTTGCACATCAGAATTCTCTTCTGTGTAGTACAAAAATCTTGGATTTAAAAGACACTTGTAAAAAACCAGGTGGCGTGTTTCTACCTACTTGTGTTTTTCCCAAGTGCAAAAACTTTTATGATCAGTGTCTCATGGAGCCATAGGTACGCGTGCATCAGTGCAGTGAAATTGGTGGGATGGGGACAAGGAGAAGCATCTGCTCACAGTGTGTTTGGTTGAGAGCATTTAAGAAGCCTGTAAACCCTGATGGGATTTTTTTTTTCCTCCTGCTATCACAGCACGCTGTACAGAGAGTGTTTTGCCAGAACATTAAATATTAAGTCATAACCTGTAACTTGCTGCTCTGTGAAATTACTTCACTTTGGTTAGTAAATTTCTGCTGGGGGAAAAAAACCAAACCACTCCATGACAGACAGTGAAAATGTAAAAGTAGCTGCAAAAGCATTTGGTCATTTGTTAAGGTGGTTGTTTCGTGTTATTTGGCGTAATATATTCCACTGCCCTGGTGCTTGTCTTCCAGGGGTTGTGGTGGCCCCTTCCTCCCCCCGCCCCTGCCTAGCATGGCCGGGTATGGCAAATGTGCTCCCAGTCACATGGCAGAGGCCTGGCTGCACACTTGTGCATTCTCCTCATCGCAGGGCAGCTGGATCTGGCCCTGCCCCCCTCTCCTATCCCTCTATTTGCCTCGGAGCAATTCATTTGCAGTTATTGAATTTCTTTGGAGAGTTATTTTCATACAGCGAGCATCACAGCACCTCTGGATCTTGATAGCATTTCTACATAAGGAGAAAGCAGCTTTGTGTTAGTAATTACCTAACATTGTCAGGAGCTGACTGCAGGCCTCTTTCTAGTGATAACAGAATAACCACATAATGTAGCTTTATAGCACATGATTAATAGAAAATAATTACACATCCTACAAAGGGATGCAATATTTCTTATAAATTGACTACAATGGTTTCCTGTAGATTAAAGGACTCTTCATTATTTTATCAGTCCTTCTGAAGTATAGTCGCTTGCCTATGTTAGCAGTGATGTTAAGAGCTGAATGCAGTGAGGGATACCAGATGGTAAACTCAGTGGTACCTGAGATCTGAAGCTGATCCTTGCAAAATTACCATGCTTCCCAACTCTTAAGAATTCATATGAAACTCTTAACTGTATTCCTATCCTTCTGCACTTTAATTATTTCCTACAAGTGTGGGCTTTAGGCTTTTATTCTTCACATCTTAAGCAGCTGTAATAGACATATGGACCTCACAACAGCAGTGTATTAATTAAATTATATTGCTACGCAGGAGTTTATAATCGATAACGTTGATAGAAACAATACATCAATTTGGATTTTATATGTGAAGAAAGGACTGATGGGCACTGCTTATCTGCCTGACTAGTAAGCACTCATTTGTGGTACTGAGGACAGGAAGGAGTGGTTAGGATTTCGAAGAGAAATGTCTGTACTTTAATCGCTTTAAAAGAGAGTGCTATCTAATGATTCTAAAACCTGAAATTAAAGTTTTATATTCATGGTAGCCAGGTATCTGCATTATATTTTTGTTCAGACTTCTATAGACTGCAGATAGTTTAATTTGGATTCATGTTGCTCTTGAGACCCATGCAAAGAATAGTAATGTAAAGTAAAAGCTTCAGTGTTGCAATACTGTCTGTATGGTATAATGGTAGCAGTTAAATTAGTTTACTATTCTGTTACATCAACATTCATTTCATCTTCTCAATTAGCTTCATGCGAGAGCAGTAAGTGGTGTATTAGCAAGTAGCAAAGACCAGAAAGTTTTCAAAACAGCAGCATGCTCCTAATTCTAGTTTGAGGTATCTGAATTGTTTCTTTAGAAACCATTATTTCTGAGTTCATGTAGTGTTGCTAAGTGGAACATTTTCTGTGGATAATGTAGTCCACAGGCTTTTTCTATGCCATTTGTCATATGCAATTTAATGACCGTTTAACTAAGCCACTTCCCTCATTTCATGTATTGTTTGCTTTTTTGGCTGATGTCTAGCAAAACTTGTTTAATCACTCTTGTCAGTCACTCTGTGAGTTCCATGTAAGAGCTTAAAAATCTTTTGTTGCTTTTTCTTGGAGAGATTTATTGCTGAGATTCCAGTAGTATACATGAGTACCTCTCCTTTCAGCAATTTCCCACTTCAGTCTAGAAATCCAGTTTGTATATTTAACCAGTGTATTGTGAGATAAACCACAGATTTTTAAACAGGCTGATCTGGAACATTATAAACCTCAGTGTCAGGGCTTTATTTAGCATTTACGGATTTGGGGTGTAATGTGTTCCTCCATGAGAAAGGTTATGAGCAGTTCTTAACTTCTGTGGAAAGCAGTTTGCACTGAGGTTTGGGTTCAGATGCCTCTAGACTTTCAGCCCAGACCCATCCCAGCACTATGTTCTGCAGAGGAAGGTGGAAGAAGGTGGAATTATTTTTGCAGCTTTCTAGTCTGTGTGTTCATGTAATAAATGAGGAGTTTCCTGCTGCTTTTTATGTGGATTTTCTTTAAATAACACTTACTGTAGTATTTTATGAATGGTAAGACAGAATCTTTTAAATCACCAACACACTGTAAAAAGAAGAAAGAAAATACTTAAGACTTCCACAATAAGAAAATAAAAAACTGTGTGTGGGCCTGCATGCAAACATGTTTTTTTTTTTAAAAAAAAAAAGGCAAAAAAAAAAAAAAGGCGCCTGGACCCACATGAAAAGTGGGCCATCAATAGGGTTTCATCGTAGCTAAGCACGGAAGAGCAGAGTACACTGAGCACCTCATAGGACCCTAGAGAACTCTAGACCAGGCCAAATATGCCAGCAGCAAATCATTATAGCTCAGGCTCTAATGAAACTCCATTAACCCTTAAGCTCCACGTGACTATTTATAACCAAAAAACTTTACAGTCAAAATAATAGCTTATAGCGTCATCTCAGTATGACTATTAATTCAAAATCCTACAGCCTTTTGCTTTGCTCATCAGAAGAGCAGCGTAGCAGGAAGCAGATGTTGATCTTCAGAGATAGCTGTGTATTTTGTATTTTCCATGTTTGTTCCAAAGTAATTTCTATCTTACTAATCATTCAATTTTGAATGGAGTCTCTGTTTTAATAATGCTTCATTTGTAACTCAGTATACGTGTACGTGCAATTTCAGCTGTTACAATTTATTGAACCGCTGTTAGGATTGATCTTAAAATATTTACCTCATAGGAAAAAAATTAAATTTGGATCCCACAATACTCTCACTTGGTATTGCTTTGGAAGATATTATTTCTTTAAACTATTGTAATTCATTTTGTTTCATATTTATCTCACTAAGCCTAAACAAATTTCAAACAAAAGTACATTAGTCATCTGTCAGACATATGAGATCTGCTGTAGAATTTTCTGCAAGCCTAAAGCAATAGTAGACTTTGTCCGTAGAAAAAGATTATGTATTAGATATACAGTGTTCCCTTCACATTTGAGCAAAGTAGTATTTAAATAAGTTGATTGTAAGTTTCTTATAGTTTAGGCCTGTGGTACTGAAAGAATCCCAGTTGATTCTTATATGTCAACATTGTGCTATTAGATTTTAGTTACAAAGATAAGGTTTTTATGTTTATGATGAATAGAGGTTGCAGAGGTCAGCTATTTTTAGTAGGTGTTATAGAGAAGCGTGGCTGTAGTTAAGAAATTTTCTTGAGTATGCCCGGCCTTTTTAAAATTTACCTTCCGTCTTTGCCTAACTCTGCTTGTGAATGCCTCTAACAAAAAGATATAATGTTTTAATTTTCAGTTGAAATGATTATAACTGTATATAAGAGAAAGCATCCATAAGGAGTTGCATACAAAACTCTATTGCATTTATATCAGACTAAAGGTTAATATTGCATATTGTTTTCAATTAGGAGTACAATAGATTTGGCTGGTGGGTAGGAGAAATGAAGGGAACCATTGGCTTGGTGCCTAAAGCCTACATAATGGAGATGTATGATATTTGAGAGGCCTCGGTAAGTACATTTTAATCCAATCTTCTGTAATGGCTTATATGTTCCCTTGTTCTCTGTTTCATAAGTATTTTTTTCCTGGAACCTTTGTAGGAGTCCTGTTAACATAAAGATTACGGCAAAATACATTGAATTTTCAATTAAAGCACTTTTTCTGGGATTCTATATGAAATATTAAACCACAGTGTACAACAGATTATATATTTTATAACTGTGTTCCTTTTCCAGATTTTTTTTAAAATAAAATTGGTGTGCTTTCTAGTTAGTTTTGTTACTTTATTAATATGTATATATCCATCTGTGCAGAAAACTGTGGATGGGGATAGTTATTTGGACTGGGCTTGATATGCATGTTTGAGGTTTTTTGATTAATTATGAACTTTCAACTTCCCTCTCCCTGATCAGGAGAAATCTGCACTTGAAATCAAGAGTGGTGTGCAGCTGCAGTTCACAGATGCAGCCTCTGAAAGAAGATTCTGCCATACACATTTTGTGGTTTCAATGAATGTAGTCAGATCGCTGCTTTGTGTATATTAAACAATAAAAAACTGTAATTGATCATAATTGTAGAATGTGTTCTTCTTAGCCACTTTTTATAGCATCGTAATGCTAGGAAATTACGTAGATGGTAATCAACATATGGGGCACAAGCAGCCATATAATGCCTGTTGCTTTTTTCTTAAGCAGCACTCTGTATAGCTATAGGTCTGTGTTCTTTCAGGGAATTTGGCTATGTTTTGCTGTTCCTCAGGTTTAGAAAAATTAAGCTGAACTTCAAAAGTAGAAAACTATTACTCAGTTCATGTATGCATTAACCTCTTAATGCTCACTATACATTTTGTGCGGTTTCCTAGGAAAATCAAGGGAAACTTATGTGTAATATTGCAAGTCTTCAGGGTATTCTGCTTCCAAATGGTTTTGTATTATGTTTTAGCAAAGGATTTATTTTTCTCATATATTTAGTATTGTTATTGTAAATTAACATTTTGTTACTGCAAAATGAAGGCTTGGCTCTTTTTGCTGATGTAATAAATTGGGTCGTGTGGTAATATTGCCCTGATGTGTTCTGACTTGGAGATATGAATTATGTGAAAAATTGTAAAAAGATAATATGTTAAAACCCCCCAATATTTGCTAAGCCCACATGAGATAAATGGCAGGTAAAAAATTATTTTTTTCTATGATAGTGTGAAATATTTTAACTGTACCTTACAGATATTTTCACAGAGTCAAATCTGGATACCATGTTGATATGTGACATTTCTGATACAAGTTGTGCAACAGACATCTTCAGCTTTATGTGGGTTAATAAAGTCTGCCTGCAGTCTTAGTGTCAAATCCAGAACTTTGTGGCTAAAAGCATCATCAGTTGTAACGTAAAGTACACTAAAATACTCTCAGTTGTGGACAAGGGGTTGGGCAAGTCAGAGTTAATTCTTTAAATCTTTGTGTTTTGGAGATGGGCTTTACTATTAGCGTGCAAGATCAACTTTTTTGAATCCTCCCACACACTTGATTTGTGAGACTCTCAATCTGCCAAAGAGGCAGGTCAAGCCCGTCTGCGAATTGCTGAGCCTGTGCAGGTCCCCTTGTAGTTGCTTCTGCTGTTTACGCTTCAGGCGGGCCCTGGAAAGCCTGTGGGTTAAAAGGTAACGTTAGCCTGAACTCGGAATTAGATCCTTGCAGTAAGCTGAGAGGTTGTGCTTTATACGAGCTAATGTACGGTACTTGATGGTGCGCTGGATTCTACTAGGAGTCAAACAGGGTGCAGTTTTGTTGTTGTTGGTTTTTGTTTGGTTGATTTTGTTTTGTTGTTGGTTTTGGTTGGTTTTTTTTTTAAAGAGATAGTAATTGAAATTGATTCTGTACGTTATCAGTGAAGCATTAAAATGATATAGTCTTCAGATCTTCCACTACTTTAATTTATCACGTGTACTTGTGGATTGTGTACAGAATGTGAAGCGTTAATATCACAGTGAAAAAAGCTCCTTCTCTCTCGTTAACATGGCAGCGTAATAAATCTGCCCACCGAAATGCCTTATTAATTATGTCATTCCACCACCACCACCCACTTTTTTGGTAGTAAACTCTACTGCCCCCCCTTCCCTTTCGTTGAGATCCGCGCGAAACTTAATTTAGGACAGGACCAATGCGGAGATGGCGGGGCCCAGCTGGTAGCCGCTGCGGCGGGGGGAC